GGACATGATATTGTGTCATCATAGGACATCTGGGGGTGTCATCACATGACATGATATTGTGTCATCACAGGACATGATATTGTGTCATTACAGGACATGATATTGTGTCATTAAAGGACATCTGGGGGTGTCATCACATGACATGATATTGTGTCATCACAGGACATGATAATGTGTCATCATAGGACATCTGGGGGTGTCATCACAGGACATGATATTGTGTCATCACAGGACATGATATTGTGTCTTCACAGGACATCAGATGTAGTCATCACAGGTATGAGGTGGTGTCATCACAAGACATGAGTTGGTGTCATCACAGGACATGAGATGGTGTCATAACAGGACATGAGGTGGTGTCATCAAAAGACATGAGATGGTGTCATCACAGGACATGAGATTGTGTCATCACAAGACATGATATTGTGTCATCACAGGACATGAGATTGTGTCATCACAGGAAATGATATTGTGTCATCACAGGACATGAGGTAGTGTCATCACAGGACATGATATTGTGTCATTACAGGACATGATATTGTGTCATCACAGGACATGAGATGGTGTCATCACAAGACATGATATTGTGTCATCACAGGACTTGAGATGGTGTCATCACTTGACATGAGTTGGTGTCATCACAGGACATGATATTGTGTCATCACAGGACATGAGGTAGTGTCATCACAGGACATGATATTGTGTCATCACAGGACATGAGATGGTGTCATTACAGGACATGATATTGTGTCATCACAGGACATATAATGGTGTCATCACAGGTCATGAGATTGTGTCATCACAGGACATGAGGTGGTGTCATCACAGGACATGATATTGTGTCATCACAGGACATGATATTGTGTCATTACAGGACATGATATTGTGTCATCACAGGACATGAGATGGTGTCATTACAGGACATGAGGTGGTGTCATCACAGGACATGAGATGGTGTCATTACAGGACATGAGATTGTGTAATTACAGGACATGAGATGGTGTCATCACAGGACATGATATGGTGTCATCAAAGGACCTGAGGTGGTGTCATCACAAGACATGTGATGGTGTCATCACAGGACATGAGATGGTGTCATCACAGGACATGAGATGGTGTCATCACAGGACAAGATCTTATGTCGTCACTGGACATGAGATGGTGTCATCAATTGACATCAGGTGATGCCATTACATGACATGATATTGTGTAATCACAGGACATGAGATTATGCAATCGCAAGACATGATATGGTGTCATCACAGGACATGAGGTGGTGTCATCACAGGACATGAGGTTGTGTCATCACAGGACATGATATTGGTCATCACAGGACATGAGATTGTGTCATTACAGGACATGATATTGTGTCATCACATGACATGAGATTGGGTCATAACATAACATGAGGGGGTGTCATCACAGGACATGATATTGTGTCATTACAGGACATGATGTAGTCATCACAGGACATGAGATGGTGTCATAACATGACATGAGATGGTGTCATCACAGGACATGAGATGGTGTCATAGATGGTGTCATCACAATACATGAGATGGGGTCATCACAGGACATGATATTGTGTCCGCACAGGACATGAGATGTAGTCATCACAGGACATGAGATGGTGTCATAACATGACATGAGATGGTGTCATCACAGGACATGATATTGTTTCCTCACAGGACATGAGATGTAGTCACCACAGGACATGAGATGGTGTCATCACAAGACATGAGATGGTGTCATCACAGGACATGATATTGTGTCATCACAGGACATGATATTGTGTCCTCACAGGACATGAGATGTAGTCATCACAGGACATGAGATGGTGTCATCACAAGACACGAGGTGGTGTCATCACAAGACATGAGATGGTGTCATCACAGGACATGACATTGTGCATAAAAGGACATGAGATGGTGTCATCACAATCCATGAGATGGTGTCATCACAGGACATGATATGGTGTCATCACAATACATGAGATGGTGTCATCACAGGACATGATATTGTGTCATAAAAGGACATGAGATGGTGTCATCACAAGACATGAGTTGGTGTCATCACAGGACATGATATGGTGTCATCACAATACATGAGATGGTGTCATCACAGGACATGATATTGTGCATAAAAGGACATGAGATGGTGTCATCACAAGACATGAAGTGGTGTCATTACAAGACACGAGATGTTGTCATAACAAGACATGAGGTGGTGTCATCACAGGACATGAGATTGTGTCATCACAGGACATGATATTGTGCATAAAAGGACATGAGATGGTGTCATCACAAGACATGAAGTGGTGTCATTACAAGACATGAGATGTTGTCATAACAAGACATGAGGTGGTGTCATCACAGGACATGATGTGGTGTCATCACATGACATGATATGATGTTATCACAGGACATGATATGATGTCATCACAGTACATGAGATGGTGTCATCACAAGACATGAAGTGGTGTCATTACAAGACATGAGATGTTGTCATCACAAGACATGAGATTGTGTCATCACAGGACATGAGGTGGTGTCATAACAGGACATGAGATTGTGTCATCACTAGACATCAGGTGATGTCATCACTAAAATTTTGGTGGTGTCATCACTAGACATCTGGCGGTGTCATCACTAGACATGAGGTGGTGTCATCACAGGACATGACATGGTGTCATCACTAAAAATCTGGGGGTGTCATCACTAGACATCTGGCGGTGTCATCACTAGACATGAGGTGGTGTCATCACTGGACATCAGATGGTGTCATCACTGGACATCTTGTGGTGTCATCACTAGACATCAAGTGTTGTCATCACTAGACATATGGTGGTTTTATCACTAGACAGCTGGTGGTGTCATCACAGGACATGAGATGGTGTCATCACAGGACATGATATTTTGTCATCACAGAACATGAGGTGGTGTCATCACTGGACATCAGATTGTGTCATCACATGACAGGATATTGTGTCATCACAGGACATGAGATGGGGTCATCACAGGACATGAGATGATGTCATCACAGGACATGAGATTGTGTCATCACAGGAAATGATATTGTGTCATCACAGGGCATAAGGTGATTTGATTACTTGACATGATATTGTGTCATCACTAGACATCAGGTAGTGTCATCACTAGACATCAGGTGTTGTCATCACCGGACATCAGATGGTGTCATCACTAGACATCAGGTGGTGTCGTCACAGGACATGAGATGGTTTCATCACAGGACATGAGATGGTGTCATCACAGGACATGATGTGGTGTCGTCACAGGACATGAGATGGTGTCATCACAGGACATGATGTGGTGTCGTCACAGGACATGATATTGTGTCATTACAGGACATGATATTGTGTCATCACTGGACATGAGATGGTGTCATCACAGGACACAATATGGTGTCATCACAGGACATGATGATGCCATTACATGGCATGATATTGTGTAATCACAGGACATGAGATTATGCAATCGCAAGAGATGATATGGTGTCATCACAGGACATGAGGTGGTGTCATCACAGGACATGTGGTGTCATCACAGGACATGAGGTGGTGTCATCACAAGACATGAAGTGGTGTCATTACAAGACATGAGATGGTGTCATCACAGGACATGAGGTGGTGTCATCACAAGACATGAAGTGGTGTCATTACAAGACATGAGGTGGTGTCATCACAGGACATGAGGTGGTGTCATCACAAGACATGAAGTGGTGTCATTACAAGACATGAGGTGGTGTCATCACAGGACATGAGGTGGTGTCATCACAGGACATGATATTGTGTCATTACAGGACATGATATTGTGTCATCACTAGACATGAGATTGTGTCATCACAGGACACAATATGGTGTCATCACAGGACATGATATTGAGATGGTGTCATCACAAGACATGAAGTGGTGTCATTACAAGACATGAGATGGTGTCATCACAGGACATGAGGTGGTGTCATCACAAGACATGAAGTGGTGTCATTACAAGACATGAGATGGTGTCATCACAGGACATGAGGTGGTGTCATCACAAGACATGAAGTGGTGTCATTACAAGACATGAGATGGTGTCATCACAAGACATGAAGTGGTGTCATTACAAGACATGAGGTGGTGTCATCACAGGACATGAGGTGGTGTCATCACAGGACATGATATGGTGTCATCACAGGACATGAGGTGATGTCATCACAGTGGTGTCATCACTGGACATCAGATTGTGTCATCACATGACAGGATATTGTTTCATCACAGGACATGAGGTGGTGTCATCACAGGACATGATATTGTATCATTACAGGACATAATATTGTGTCATCACAGGACATGATATTGTGTGATCACATGACATGAGATGGTGTCATCACAGGACATGATATGGTGTCATCACAGGACATGAGGTGATGTCATCACAGGACATGAGGTCGTTTCATCGGTTGACGGCAAGTTAAGTCATTGGGTTATAAGATTTTTCTTTTGAAAGCAATTGAAAACAAACAAGATCAAATTTTTTTGTTTACTTTTATTATCAAAACAAAACTTTCAAGTAATTCATTTTCTATTCAGTTGATAAACAAACCAGAAATGTCAGTTTAAAAACCATAAACATAATTCATAAAGTGTATGTCGGTTAATTATGGAATTTTTTGCAGATTTAATTTCTATCTAGTTCAGTTTGACAACTAGCAATTTCTGAAAACGCTTCCTTTAAAAGTTTTGATTGGTATTTTAGGGCCTGAATAAACGCAACTACAGTGTTAATTTGATATGATAATTAGATTATACAAATCCTATCAAAATAATATTTGGCGAAGAGACATAAATAAAATGGAATGTCACATAACAATGATTGGATGTACAAGTGACGTCACATATGACGTGATTACCTGTGAAAATGTGTCATCAGGCATTCTCAGTCATCATGAAATGCATGTCTAATGTTATGACTACTTTGAATAATATGATCAATTATAAAATGTACGGGCATTAGAATGCTTATATAAAATATGAAAATATGAGTTGAAGTAGTGCTAGTTAGTGATATGAACTTGGGAAGCGAAATGAGAAAATAGCTGCAAATCTAAATCATCAATCGGAAACTGTTGGACATTTTCAAATACTCGTTTAACTTACGGAAAGTGCCGACCGTTCCCGATTGCTATACAGCAGCTTTACAGCAGCCGTGAATAATGGACAAATATTTCACGTCATTAACAAATTCATTCTAATTCTCTATGTTCTCTGTTACTTGTATTTACATATGTAGCAACGATTTATAGCGAATGTAACAAGTCTGCTATTGAATTTGTATTTTTGAATGCAATAAGATTTCCAGTAAAATTAACAGTCACATTTGTCGCATTGGAATTACAGAGGAACTGGGATAAAGTTAGTTATATAGTAGACATTCCTCATGAGATCACGGTTGTTTTACACCATGGCCATAAACTCGTCTAGGCTGATGATTCCGTCGTCATTTGTATCAACCTTGGCAAACATTTTGTCGATATCGGCGTCACTGCAGCCACGGCTTTTCACCAGCTGTCGGACCTCGTCCGTACTGAGACTTCCGCTGTGGTCTTTGTCAATGTCATCAAACGCTTTCCGGAATTCTGCCCTGTAACAATATCAATACCTTCAGCAAGATTCATCAGTTAGGAAATATGTATTATCAAAGTTTTACTTCATACACAATGTACGTATTAAACGTGTCGCAACGTTTCAAGAACGACTGGTGCAACGTTTCAAGACCGACTGGTATCTTAGTCACGGTCTTGAAAGTTGCAACAGGGACCAGTCGGTCTTTCAAACGTTGCGGCACGTGGACGTTCTACCATCTTGCCACTGGCGATCATCGAGTCTAAACCTGCTACTTTTTTTTATTTTTCCTCTAAAGTCTCCGCCCTTGAAGACAACATTAATATATTTATAAGCCTTGTTTAGGTATCCGCTTTTGCCCAATCGGGAACCATCGGCACTTTCCGTAAACGACAAAGATTCCCGATTGACCGCTTGCCAAGAGCAAACAGCTTGTCACATGGAATCATTAGTAAGAGGATGAGACAAAACCCAACGGCCCTGAACAGGGTTTGAACCCAAGACATATAACTCCGAGACGCTCTCCTAATTGAGTAACCTGGTAACTGGCGATCTACAGATTGTTTTTAATGAGTTCCACTACAGCTACATGTACAAGGTAAAACACCTTCATCCAAGATGCTAAAATAGTAACTGTATACCGGGACACTTTCGCCCAGCCAAACCGTTTCGCCCTTCGCCCATTACACGACCGTCTACATAAGCAAAATCTATAGAATATAATCAAACATATCTTATCAAATGATGCATTACACTGTATTGCAGAGTGATACCAACATGTATTAAGACACTAGTTGTGAGTCAAACTGACAAAGAAAGATGTTCAGCTGTAGACTTATCCATCCCGTAGTCTATCTGTAAAAATAAATTATATAGACAACAAAAACATATATTGCACCATGTAATAAAGTGTAAATCTCTTGCGCCAGAATAAATTGTAAATCTAGATCATACTGTGTCTGGGTCTTGAAGTCAGGCTGATCCTAATGGATTTCCAATTTATTGGAAATAACATGAAGGACACTAGTACTTGCCTTCTGGGTTTCTTCATCATTTCTCCTAAGAACTCCTCTAAGGTGACTTTGTTATCTCCGTTTCTGTCCAGACAGCAGAACATATCCTGAAACCACATCAAAGTCACAATAAGTGTTGTGCTTTTCAATGAAAGCATAAATAATTGCTACAGTAACCGTTTAACCTTGAAGAAAATGTGACATAAACCGCGGCCTGTACCGATATCAAATCACTGTCACCTTGACCTTGACAGTAACATCATACAACACATCTATGCATGCAATAAGCAAAAGTGACCTTGACCTTGACGGTAACAACATATCACCCATATACATCTATTAAGTCAATGCAAAATTGACCTTGATTTAACGTGATTTAACACCTGCACATCAATAAAAAAGAAATAACATTTAATTGGTGTTTTGAAATGTGTGTGAAAAGCAACATGCCTTACGTCTTATATACATATGGATAATTCGGCACAAATGTTTGGAAGGTTCGACCTTTGACCAATTTGCTGTGATTTTCGTTTGGTGGTCGATGCATATTCTTGTTCATTAATTGCGGTCCTGACATCTGACCACTTGGTGTGACATGGTATTGTGGTAACTTGTGTAGGATAAACAGTCTTGACCAACAGGAATGTAAAATGGTTGATTAGACATTCTGGGAGCATTGTATTGATTTGGCCATTGACCCCTCGATTCATCTTGACATTATGGGCACAGACCTGTGTGTGGTACGCAACTGACCATATTTCATAATACTCCTAATTGCAACAAATCATCTTGTCATAAAACTCCAATATATCAAATTCCATCAAATGAATTTGACAGCCTTAATAGTTAGGTTCGGACGACACCAGAACGTACCGTCGGGAAGAATAGCTTTGCCTATATTGCCTGACTGACTATATTGTCAGACTATATTGCCTGACTATCATTATTGCCCGTCTATATTGCCTGATAACACTCTAAAATTGCTTGATGACACACCTTTACTTGGTGACACACTAGCATTGCCTGATGTCACACAAACATCGCTGGCGACACACTAGCGTTGCCTGGTAACAAACCAGTGTTTCCTGGTGACACTATCGATGCCTGGTTACACACTTGCGTTGCGTGGTGTGGTGACACGCTTATTTCGCTTGGCTACACGCTAGCGTTGCTACACGACAAACTATCGTTGCCTGGCTACATGCTAGCGATGTCTATCGACAAACTATCGTTGTCTTGCTACACGCTAGTGTTGTCTGTCGACAAACTATCGTTGCCTGGCTACACGCTAGCGTTGCCCCACGACAAACTATCGTTGACTGGCTACACGCTAGCGTTGCATGATTCCACACTGATATTGCATGGTGACTTACAATCGTTACCTTGTGACAAAACAAGCAATGTTTGGAGACGCACTAGCTTAGGATGGTGTCACACTAGCGTTGTCTAGTGACTTACTTGCAATGCATGTGACACCAGGCGGATATAGCTTGGTCCAAAACTACAACTGTCTGCATCTTAACGCCCTGAAATACATTTTAACCAAACTCAATATGCGCGTGCAATGTAAAATTGTATGTTTTTCTTTTAAAACTTTCTTCATATTTAAGTTTGTAGTCAGGACGACGAATTTGAACCATCCATGTACCCAGTACACACAATGACTTGCCGTCGTTGAGAAGCAAATTCCAGCAATGCCTAATCAAGACCTAAAATACGACTGCGGAAGTTCCAAGAGTGTAAGACATCAAAACCGATTCCAGATTCGATCAGGAACAATAACAAATCAGTTATAATGACCAACAACCACACGTAACAAAACAGCAGGAGCGCAAGGATTAGAGGCATTTAAAGCATCAATCCCTCCCAACAGGGATTAACCGAAGCTAAGTAACGCATGCGTACTTAACCCCCTCCGCATTAAAGCCATGCTGGTCTCTTTTGAGTATAACATATAGATAGATAGCCCGAGCTTCCTCTGGTCCTGACGCCAGACTTTTCGGGATTTATCATACCCGGCTCGACTGGGGAAAATCAAATTACCAACTCTGAGCTACAGAAGGATAAGGGGAGACATGATCGAGGTGTTTAAAACAACAAACAATACATACGATAATTGTGCAACGGATTTTGTGAAGATGTGGAAAGATTACATACATGTATTCTCAAGAATATCGAATCTTCCGGAAAATGTGGTATTAGCACCGACTGTATAAACACTTTTAAAACAGACTGGAAGAGCATTGAGAGAAGCAGGAACTTCTATATGATCCAAGTAACGTCACATTCATCTATTATTAAGTCATGATTTTGAGTCCAGTGAAGAGGATATTTATAGATTGATTTGTTTGGTTTTGGTTTGATTTTGTTTGACGTCCTATTAACAGCTATGGTCATTTAAGGACGTGCCTCCTTGTATGTTGTGTATGTGTGTATGTGTATGTGTGCTGGAGGCAAGGTATGTTGGGGTACTTGTCTCCTTGTGATAGCGCGTATCTGATGCCGACTTTATAGTGCTATCTCACTGAAATACCATGCCGAAGGCACCCAGCACACCACTCCGCCCGGTCAGATTATACTGACAACGGGTGAACCAGTTGTTGCCATTACCATAAATGCTGAACGTTAAGCAGGGAATGCTAACTACCATTTTTAAGGACTTTGATATGTCCCGGCCTGGGGACAGAACCTACTGCCTTCCTCACTTTGGCAAACGTTCAACATTAATGCCAAAAGGAAGGTATTGTCAAGCAAGGCGCTAGGAAATAAAAGGTATTGCAATGGGCGCAGCCGATTGATTTTGGTCGCTTTTGTGTCCATTACTCGCCTCTTACGATACACATACAGTTGGTAACAGCAGGTGTATTCTTTTTCATGTTCCCCCACCTGCAGAGGTTTGACAGATAGATATCCAACACCAGACATATATCTGTCAGAATGTTTAAGTGTAGTGTCAGGGCCAGAGAATGTACAAAGGATTAAGGTCGACTTCTAGCTTCGAGCTAGAGTGAATTTCCCTTTAACTCAGTGGTAGAGCATCCGACTGGGAACCTGGAGATCGAGTGTTTGATCCCTGGTGGAAGCACACTATTCTCTTTCCTGTTACACAATGTATTCTACGCCCCTCATCCAACAACCTTTGTTAGCTCCATGCATGTGACCACTAGTTCTCTTGTACACCACGAACTCTTTCTACTGGCCATGGACTGCTGCCAATACACCGGACATAAACAGAGCGTATACGGACCCATTGTTGAAGCGAACAATCAGCCGTTCATCCTCCGTATATTATTATCTATACCAGTTGACAAATATTCAAATTTGGTGAATATATTAAAATTTGTTTTTCAAAAGGAAACGGTTTTTTTATTGGTAGTTTTAATTTATATATGTAAATAGAGATTTATCTGTCTCACTAACTGCCATTAAAATTCCACGTCGCTATAATTTGCAACATCCAGGTGTACTCCGCTTATACTAATGAGATTATTCAGAGCTCACAGGTAACAAACATGTATACATGTATCTATGTCGTAAGGGATTTTTTAAAACTATTTCTAACACTGAAAAATATTTTTTCATCTAATGAAATATTAAACTTCGTCGCATTAAATTGTCTTGTGCGTCAGTGATGCCAGATTATCTTTACTTTAAATGACTTTTTTGTGGGTATAAAAGGATAAATAAGCGTCCTACGCTCCTTGTATTAAAACCGATATCTTTTGTAACGATATCGACGCTTCTTATAACGAAATAGACGTTCTTTGTACTGAAATCGACTTCTTCTTGTACTGAAATCGACGCTCATTGTACTGAAAGCTATACCCTTGTACTGAAATATATACCCTTGTACTGAAATTGACGTTCCTTGTACTGACATTCACGCCCTTTGTACTGAAATCGACGACTGTTGTACAGAAATGGACGCTCCTTGTACTGAAATCAACGCCCATTGTACTGAAATCAACGCACCCTGTACTGAAATCAACGCTCCGCTCTTTGTTTTGAAATCAACGCTCCGCTCCTTGTATTGAAATCAACGCCTTTTGTACTGAAATCAACACCCCCTGTTCTGAAATCAACGCTCCGCTCCTTGTACTGAAGTCGATACGCTTTGTACATTATGTAAAATCGACGCGCTTTGTACTGTTTCGAAGCCCTTTATACCGACACGTACGCTTCTTACACACGGGGGTAATCCCGATACTTGCTATATGGTTGGTTGGTTGGTTGAAGGGTTTTTCGCCTACATGATTCCGCCCTTACGGGTTTCATCTCACTGACGGAAGTCGTTGTTCTGTCGGCGTGAGGGAAGTTGCCTTCCCTCAGGGGGTGGGGAGAAATCCCCCATACTATATCCTATCCTTATATTTTGATGAAATTTGGGAGACGACTCCCTGGTCCGAAATGGTTGATAGGTGTGTCGCGCCGGTTGTTGCAACTTTCTTGTTCCTTACTAGTGTTTTCATCGTTGGAGGGAGGTTAAAAATGGCCAAGATAGCTTATATTAATGTATATATATATGAAGAAAAAAATGTATGTTTGAAAGGTGTATTTATTGCATATATTCATGTTTTTATAGGGAAGTATATATATTATGTTTGTTATGTACAAGGGGTCTCTAACTACCGGTTCGCTGTTTGGATTACGTCAGAGCAAAAAGTTGGTTTTTCGCCAAATACGGCTTACGGCAGAGAAAAAATCTCCTTTAATTGGAAGTGTTGCGGAAAAATACAAGATTACGTAAGTATAATGATGTGATATAAGCAACAAAGTTGAAACAATGATAACACAAAAGCCTGTTGAAGGTATTGATACTATCACATACACGTGTCAAAGTAGATTTAATACTTCGATAATGAATATTCTGACGTAATACACAAATCGACGTGCGTTTGATATGAAGATGAATAAAACGATTCCTCGTGTCATTGAAATGGAGTAAACAGTTACACTTATAGAACGAATAATACTATTATTATCAAATGTATGAATTTCTCACATGGACATTACATTTGTTCATCAACTGCTTTTTAATACTGGTGATACGGATAACGAACATGCTCAATTGTAGTTGATACAGCATGTCTGTCTGTCTGTCTGTCCCTAGACATTTTTGTCCAGACAACTCCTGGACCAATTTCAACAAAACTTTCTAGATATGATAACTATCACCTGGATTTGTGCATCCAGTTATTCTCTTTTCATTCTGACCACCTGAAATTGTGCATCCAGGCATTATTTTGTTATTTTGAGCATTTCTTTTATGGAGTAATGGCCTTTTGTTGAAAAATCTTTGTTGGGACAACTTCTCCAAAACTACTGGGCCGATTACAATGAAAGTGTTAATATAATATAACTACAATCAGCTGTGGTGCATCTATGTATTATTTGTTCAATCTGACCCTTTATTACGGAGTAATGGGCCTTTGTTGAAAAGTATTTTCCAGACAACTCCTCCAAAACTATGGGGGCAATTTCAACGGAAGTTTTCAGATATGATAACTACCCCATGATGAGATATGGCCCTTTCTTCAAAAATCCTTGTCCTGACAACTTTCTCCTAATCTACTCGGCCAATTTCAAAGAAAGTTAAGAGATATGGTAATATAACTGCCCCCTGACGTTGTGCATTCAAGTAGTACTTTTTCATTCCGACCCTTTTAAAAGGAGTTACGGCCCTTTGTTGAAAAAATCTTTGTCTGCGTCCTTAACTATTATTGGGCCGATTTCAATGAAAGTTTACAGATGTGGTAATTACCCCCTGATGTCGTGCCTCTTTATTTCTGTGTGAATGCTGGAGATGTATTGTGTTATGTTTGTTGTGTGATCGTGCTTCCAACAGTATCATTTATAGTGCCACCTCACGTGAATCCTACAGCACACATATATACCGCAACATCCACCCCACCCCCTGGGCTGTAAGAGTTGTGTGGGCAGGAGAAACACAGTTGAATAAGGACAATAACCATGAAACAGGCTATTACAAGTGTTGGGAATCAGTTTTAATTTCGTAATGGAAGATTGGTGTGTGATCCATATCATATAGATTAAGTTTGATAACATTCCGACAAAAAAATACCTTTTTAAAATGAACGTGTTTTTCCTATGACAATATTTAAGGATTAACTTGAATATATTTTTCATATTATGGAGCTATAACACAAAAAACCGGAGTGTATTCGCGGTTTATTTAGAGTACACTCCGTTATAATTTAATCTACTATACACAATCCCTGTGGAAATCCACTTTTATTGATGGACTCTTTTCTCTTAGAAATTATTTCGCCGCTGTATCAACCAATCAAAAGCGACGTTACAAATGGCGACGTCATTTTTTACGTTATGGGATGATAGCATAATTTTTTGAGCCAATGGAAATGCTTGTTACAAGCAAGATTAAATTATATTGGGATATGTATTGCAATATATTCATTCTGTATTGCAATACACCGTACTCCACTCTAGGCGCATTGTGCCACCCCTAATACTCAGAATTTGCCAAAGAAAATGACAGTACTACGTTACATGTATGCATTCACAAAATTTTGGAGCTCGCTCATACATAATCCCACCGTGTGCGACCGGTCGGTATATGTGATCCGACTCAACACTACTTGTATGTGTGTTTGGGACTGTGGCCAGTGTGGGCGTATTGATACTGTTACATTATAGTAACATAGACTCATGTTTATAATATTGTGCGTGATGACTCGACAGGCATGACTGTCCACACAAGGAATGTAGGTAAACGTTCATCGAAAGTAGACCGGGCTAGAACTATGCAGGATTTCAACTGAACTTGATATGGCTGGCTAAACAAAAACAAACATATATGAAAGTCTAATTCGCCTCGTACACCTTTACAAAATATAAGTGTGTAATTTATTGACATCGGTGTACTATATTGTGATGGTAATACTATAATGTTTTGTGTCGGGGCATATTGGTAATGTTACATTTGATAAAATTTCACACTTTTAAGGGGAATATACAATTAACCCATTCAACCATAAAGTCACATTCGAATCGTACCAAAGACTGGCCGAGTCCAGTTTAAATATGTAGGGGTGAATTAGTTAAAACATCCTTCGCTCTGGCAAAAAAAGCATCTGAAATTAAATTCCTACACAAAGATACCGAACGCGTTGAGAAATACTAGTTAACTATCAACACCGCATTATAACTTCTAAAAAATATAAAAAGGGAGTATGGGTTTCTAATACTTACCGCCAAATCCCTGTCGGAAATATCTTCGCCAAACTCATTGATGACCATTCTCTTAAGCTCCCCCGGCGTTACTTCCCCATCGTTGTTCTTGTCGGCCTTCCGGAACACACCTGTAAACTTCGCTTTATCCTCCTGTGCCATCGTTCGTTTATAAACAGCACCACAAACAGCTAAAGAATCGACACACGAGTTGGTTTTACCGTCCTCTGCGTGAGATAAACGCTCGGACAATTTCACTGGTCGGTCGTTGCTTGCAGAAGTATGTCTGTGATATGTGTACCGCAGCTTATGAATGGGGAGAGTAGTAAGTTAGAGTGACGCAAACTTGACACGCCCACTCGTGAACCTTGGTTTGGCTCCAGGTTTAAACCGGTTACCGTGGCTACTGTACATTGTCTGTAACTTCGTGACAGTTGGTGAAACTGACCCACACACAGACTTATGAGCTATTGTCACTTACTTCATGTGTGTATGTCTGTCACGCTGTGTCACGTCATAACACAGGTAAACATGACGTTAAACCACTCGCTAGGGGTTTTCCTTGTCTATGGACTTGAGCAAGTCTACTATGAGTTGAATGAGCCTCAGACTTAGCTCAATAAGGAGACATAAAAGTAAATATCATAAAAATTCATAACCAGTCTACTGACACTGAAACTAATGACGATTAGGGTGTCTGATCTCAGGGGCCCGACACATGACTATAGTCGTATATATCTTTGTTTACTCATAAAGAGCTTGTCTGGATCTGACAAGAAAACTCCGCCCTACCTCCCACCTGTCCCAGCCCTGCGCTTTTGATGAGGAGTGATTCTGTCCATTATGTTATAGAGCTCTAAAACCAGAAGTCCATTATGTTATAGAGCTCTAAAACCAGAAGTCCATTATGTGATAGAGCTCTAGAATCAGATGTCCATTATGTGATAGAACTCTAGAATCTGAGGTCCATTATGTGATAGAACTCTAGAATCAGAAGTCCAATATGTGATAGAGCTCTAGAATCAGAAGGCCATGTTACTTTTACCTGTAAATGTGTTACTATATTTACTGAGAGATAGTAGATTTTTTTATCTGATAGGCAAGTATAGTGTAATGATATCGGAAAATCAATTAGTTCTTTTATTGAACTGTGACATTTTGTAAATCAATCTCAGCTACATTAATATTTTTAGCGATGAGCAGAGGTCGTTCTCATTTATAACTTCTTCATAATGTTACATAATTTGTGTCAGTATCATAGGACACTTATATTAATGTGTATACATAATCTGTGTATAGGTGTGTGTATTGTGTACATAATCTGTGTATAGGTGTATGTATTGTATACATAATCTGTGTATAGGTGTATGTATTGTATACATAGTCTGTGTATAGGTGTATGTATTGTATACATAATCTGTGTATCGGTGTACGTATGGTATACATAGTCTGTGTATCGGTGTATGTATTGTATACATAATCTGTGTATCGGTGTATGTATTGTGTACATAACCTGTGTATCGGTGTATGTATTGTACACATAATCTGTGTATTGGTGTATGTATTGTACACATAATCTGTGTATCGGTGGATGTATTGTGTACATAATCTGTGTATCGGTGTATGTATTGTATACATAGTCTGTGTATCGGTGTATGTATTTTATACATAATCTGTGTATCGGTGTATGTATTGTGTACATAATATGTGTATCGGTGTATGTATTGTATACAAACTCTGTATATCGGTGTATGTATTGTATACATAATCTGTGTATAGGTGTATGTATTGTATACATAATATGTGTATCGGTGTATGTTTTGTGTACATAATCTGTGTATAGGTGTATGTATTGTATACATAGTCTGTGTATGGGTGTATGTATTGTAGACATAATATGTGTATAGGTGTATGTATTGTATACATAATCTGTGTATAGGTGTATGTATTGTATACATAGTCTGTGTATGGGTGTATGTATTGTAGACATAATATGTGTATAGGTGTATGTATTGTATACATAGTCTGTGTATAGGTGTATGTATTGTATACATAATCTGTGTATCGGTGTATGTATGGTATACATAATATGTGTATCGGTGTATGTATGGTATACATAATATGTGTATCGGTGTATGTATGGTATACATAATATGTGTATCGGTGTATGTATGGTATACATAATATGTGTATCGGTGTATGTATGGTATACATAATATGTGTATCGGTGTATGTATGGTATACATAATATGTGTATCGGTGTATGTATGGTATACATAGTCTGTGTATCGGTGTATGTATTGTACACATAATATGTGTATCGGAGTATGTATGGTATACATAATATGTGTATCGGTGTATGTATGGTATACATAGTCTGTTTATCGGTGTATGTATTGTACACATAATCTGTGTATAGGTGTATGTATTGTATACATAATCTGTGTATAGGTGTATGTATTGTATACATAATCTGTGTATAGGTGTATGTATTGTATACATAATATGTGTATCGGTGTATGTATTGTATACATAGTCTGTGTATCGGTGTATGTATTGTACACATAATATGTGTATCGGTGTATGTATTGTGTAAAAATGTATGATACGTTAATAAAATATTCGTTATTGTTTATTTGGGTTTACCTAAATAATTGTTTGTACACAATATTTACTATTCGATCTACGCTACCATATTTGGTAAGGTGTACAGTATGTCACGTGACCTGGTTGACCAATGGTCATTTAGCCTATAGGGATAGCCCTATTGATATTGTCTTCAGGCATTTCAAGCAGTCTCAGCATCAGCACTGACTGTTTTTGTTCCCACCATCCACCCCTTCACCACCTTGCTTGTTCAGGTTTTATTTATTTATTTATTTTTTATATAGGTACATCATAATATTTCTTTAATACTGTATGTTTATATCTATGTTTTTTATTGTATCATGTATATTTATTTTGTTGTTGTTGGTGTTTTTTGTGTTTTTTTGTTGTTGTTTTTTTGTGGTTTTTATTTTTTATTTTTTTGTGATGTAACTTGTTCAGGAAAGAGATAAGGCCATCCAGGGTGAGACAACACCTGGTCAGCTGGTCTGAGCATTGGATAAACCTACCTCCCTGTAAAGAAACATATCAGGTTGGGGCAGCCGGCTCGCCGCACTTTGTTCCACAGTTTCAAGCTTACTTTTTATTTTTCTTTCACTTTCCGGATTCTCTATTGTAAATGGGCTGCTCTTATAAGTGTAAGGGACATGGACAGGACATGTAATTCGGGAGTTATACCCCCAATTCATTATATGCTTGTTGTTGTATTTTTATTTTTGCAATCATACCCAGTTTGTGTGCCTGCCGGGGAGCACCCCCTTTAAGTCACGTACATTTCTTAATCCTGGTTTGCTTTTTGGTAATCTAACATAGTTTTAGGGTAGGTGACTTAGGGCGTGCTTAGCTAGTCAGAGTATAACTGTGTAAGTGCCTGTTGGGGATCGCCCTGTAAACCATGTTCTTACTTATACTTTGAACACTCAGGCACCGGGGTCGCTCGATGCCTGTTTGCAAGTCCGCCTGTTAGCTACTCGCTCCACAGCTTGGGATCGCTCAAGCCTTGGGGATCACCCCACAACTTATTCTAGTCACCAGCTTGAGATCGCTCAAGCCGGGGATCGCCCCACTCTTCTTTTAAGTTAAGTGTGTTGTTTTAATTTCCTTTTGCTGTAAATAGATATGTTTGTAACCAACTATGTTGTAGTTAGTTTAAGTAACAGAGAGCAGCCCCTAAGAATGCCAAAAGATAATTAATATAACCTGAACAAGTTACTTTAAATTTAGACTCAATACATTTTTGAACTTTAATTCTTTGTTTTATTGTGTATACAATGATAGCATAATGAAATACTGTACTGAACAGGCCGGAACTCGGGAGAACTTGTGTGTTTCTACACGGATGCAGTACCAGTGCTGTACCTATAGTACTATGCACCATTCGAGGCAGATCAATACGTGGTTCCTTAGAGTATACCACAGAGGGTATTTCTCATATAAAACAGCGTAGAAAATCGTTATTGGCATTCTACACGTAACGCAAACTGTGTTGGAATATGTCCACGTGCGGGCACGTGCACTTAAGTACTGCGGAAGCTTTAACTGTGAATTGCTGGCATTCTCCGTGCCGCAGTCATTTCCATACCATTTAAACCGTATGCCCTTATATGGGAGGTATTGCCTCATTCAGAATCACGTTAAGTGAATTAAATAAAAGGAAAAATGTGTTTCCTTTCCTGGTAGCTACAGGCTGAACAGTCACGTCACTGCCCCGACATACACGTCCAGTCTCCAGTCTATATCGATAACTATTGGAATTAAGAATTACTTACAAACTTCAACATTCTACAGTTCTGACATTTTTCTTGTGTGTTACTGATTAATCCGTGAAGGCGTGTATCGCGTTGAAGATATAACGGCTGTGAACTATTTTTGAGCATGAAAAAAAATATGACAAATGCCAAAATAAACTGTACGGATAAACTATACGGATAATGAAATCGTGTGAATTACTGATTCCCTGGTTGACACTATTTTTGATGAGTTCCATGGCATTTTTTTTCCAAGCAGACTTACGGACAAACCGTGTTTCTCCCTTGGTCGCCTTGTTCATAATGTACCGTAACAGACTGTTGGCATACTGATACGAACAAACCGTGTTTCTCACTTGGTCGCCTTGTTCATAATGTATCGTAAGCAGACTGTTGGCATACTGATACGGACAAACCCTGTGTCTTCCTTGGTCGCCTTGTTCATAATGTACCGTAAGCAGACTGTTGGCATACTGCTACGGACAAACCCTGTGTCTTCCTTGGTCCCCTTGTTCATAATGGATCGTAAGCAGACTGTTGGCATACTCATACGGACAAACCGTGTGTCTCCCTTGGTCGCCTTGTATCGTAGTAATGTACCGTGAGCAGACTGGGTCGACCGCCGGCTACCAGGTAGCTCTATTAGTTCGAATCCTGGTCTTGCCATTTCATTTTCCCTTTCCTATAGCATTAAGCACTCAATATGATCAGTTTGGGAAGGGCCTGTCGTCCTCAGATTCACCATGGGCTAATGACAGTTCAGCACAACAGTTTACAAGTTATCTAATTTCTTGTTTTTAAAGCTTTTTGATTATAGAAGGGTTTCGTATACGATACCTGATACACGTGATTAACACGTGATTATTTGTTCTCCTTGTAGCTCGGCGCGTGCCTTGACTAAATGTTCTAGTTTTTGTCGTGTTAATTGTAGTCAAGTGACCCTGAGATGTCGACCACGACCATTATATATCATTGTAGTCAAGTGACCCTGAGATGTCGACAACGACCATTATATATCATTGTAGTCAAGTGACCCTGAGATGTCGACCACGACCATTATATATCATTGTAGTCAAGTGACCCTGAGATGTCGACCACGACCATTATATATCATTGTAGTCAAGTGACCCTGAGATGTCGACCACGACCATTA